TAGCTCAGCATTGGGTAAAGAGAGGACTACTATGGGAATAGGCCAATGGGAAGGCAGAAACCGTTGGACAGAATTTGTGATTTCTCTAGTTTTCTCTCTCTCCATTTACTGGTTTAGTGAATCTGTTTGTGACATTCCCAGGATATGGCAATGAATTTCCTAAGTGATTCATTATGCCCACATTGGGGGCTGATCCCAGTTCTTTGATTTATCTTAGACGAAAGATAAAACGTGGTCAACGTTTATATCATGTGTGTTGGAGCGATATAAAACAGATCGATAGGTTTGGGTGTACAGAACATTTGAGTAACTTTAACCAGAGTCTTCATAATCAGCAAATAGAATATCTAATACTTCAATTATTACATTAACTAATACTTCCGTTATTATGTATTCTAATACTTCAGTTATTATATTACCTAATAATTCAGTTATTATATTATCTAATACTTCAGTTATTATATTACCTAATACTTCAGTTATTACATTAACTAATACTTCAGTTATTATATTACCTAATACTTCAGTTATTATATTACCTAATACTTCAGTTATTATATTACCTAATAATTCAGTTATTATATTATCTAATACTTCAGTTATTATATTATCTAATAATTCAGTTATTATATTTTCTAATGGTGAATGGTAGTTGGTTGAAAAGCCTACACGTACTAGATCTCTTACCAGGTGTTAAAAACTAGTAAAAATAATATAAGCAGAACATAAAATAAAAGCTCTGAAATGATAAACGTATAAATACGCAATATATCAACACATAAAATGGTAAAATACAAAATATTAAATATATAATATATTATCAGTTGTTGTGGTATACGTGTGCTCACTAGGTGGCAGCCTTTATATCCTTTATATCCGGGGAATCTTAAACTAAACAGTGAATAGTCGTAATATGTTGAATGAGAGTAAATCCTTAAAATTCGAATAGGAATATATTAACACAAAACATGAAATAAATGAATAAATAGTCCAGACACCTTAATGGTCCAATAGAATCAGATAAAGAACTTTGTCTTTCAAATACTTTTTTGGACGTTATTGTTATTTTTATTCATCTTTTAATATTATTTTTTATCTGATTCTATATAAAGGATTTTTGATACAACAACTGATAATATATTATATATTTAATATTTTGTATTTTACCGTTTTATGCGTTGATATATTGCGTATTTATACGTTTATCATTTCCGAGCTGTTATTTTATGTTCTGCTTATATTATTTTTACTAGTTTTTAACACCTGGTAAGAGATCTCCTAGTACGTGTAGGCTTTTCTACCAACTACCATTCGCCTATTTGTCTTAGCTTTTCTGGGGGCTTCCTTTTACTGTTTGTTTCTATCTTTTTTCTATCCATTTTTTCCACTCTTCAGGGCTAGTGTATTCTGCCCACCACGTATACTCTATGTATTCTAATACTTCAGTTATTATAATTTATTATACTTCAGTTACCTAATACTTCAGCTACTATGTATTCCAATGCTTCAGTTATTATGTATTCTAATACTTCATTTATTATATTTCCTGTGTGTTGCTATTTGAATACATGGCTGTATTTGTGTGACGTTGGTGTGACTATGATTAAGATGTGAGCACTCATACATACTGCCAGTCTGACACAGGTCTGGTCATGCCGTGACCAGAGAGCATGAGAAAATGACTTTATTAGGGAATCCTACAATATAAAAAAGGAGTGCTTATAAAATCAAATCAATTAAAAGTATGTATCAATCAGAAAACCTGTATAAATGCAAGAATGTTGTAAATCTCCTACAAAATGTATCCGAAAAATTCCACAAGAAATACATTAAAACACACTTAGGATCTATGTGTTAGTGAAAACCCAAGTAGATAATCCGCTAAGCAGTGCAATCAGGAAAACTGTGTAACTGTCAAAATGGGCCAGATGGTCAAAGGCCCAAGGTAGGTACAATATATAAAAATAAAGACCACTAGAAAAATAAAGCAGATTCTGAAAAGTTCATGAATAAACTAACAGAAAAAATGTATATAAACATGTCCATCAATCTACGTGAGTGATATCAACTACAAATTCTGATGATGATAGAAGTAGGCTATATAGATGCTCACATGATGAGATCTGCCCAGAGAACTCAACCCTCGCCAGCGGTAGTGGGCACCCGAGACCAGCTGAAATAACTTGTGAGACCACACGAGCAAGAGGGGCAGCAACCATACGCCAAATGCATGTGTCATGGTTGATTATATATTTCCAACCTGTTCTATGTTAAATTTTTATATATTGTGTATTAATATTGTTTTTGTATTTTATTGTACCCTATTGTATCAATGCAATGTTTTGTGGACCCAGGACATACTTGAAAACGAGAGAAATCTCTCACCTGGGCAAGGAGTGTGCCAGTGATTTACCTCCCAGAAGCTGCGGTTAACCGCAGCTTAATTGGCGAACGCTGGGTTGCCGCTGTTCGTATAACCGAACACGTGGCAGCGGCCACCTTAAACTCCTGAACGGTCAGCGGTGTTTAGCTCCAAAATGGATGCTTATTTACACGAACACCGAAGGAACTCCACTGACCTTTTCACATAGGAGACATCTCCCAGTGTGGGAAAGCTTGGGTGTGGGTAACGAGAACACATAACGTTTTACTCACCATCTCATCTAGTAAGCAGTGACCTGTTTTATGTCTGCGTACCTGCTCTATGTTTGCATTGCAATGACCTGCTCTATGTTTGTAAACTAAGCAGTGACATGCTTTATGTTTTTATAAATTCATTTGTTTTTATATTTGATATTGTAACATATTGGCAATAAATTGTTTAATACCCAGCTGATTAAGTAAATGCATGTGATATTTAGCACTATTTAAGAAGTGCCAAGTAATCTATACAGATCTGAGTATGAATTGGAATACCATCCAGTGAGAAATAAAAGTATTTTTTTTTCCCTCTTGAAAGCTATGTTGCATGTGGGAGAGGGGCTTATTGTTGCTTAATATCGCTCCACTTCTTAATACTATACTTTGAATATTTTGTATGTGGTGAAGGAATCACTTTGAAGTGTGGTAGCTAGTATCTATGAAATATTTGGGAATTTATATAATTTATAAATAGCTCTATTTTTGCCCCTATAGAGTCTTTATATACAAAGCGTTCCAGTATTGTGCATTTTATTTTGTCTATCTGGGGATATGTAGAATTTATATGTTTTATTCATTATTTGCAACATTGTGTATTTTTGTGTCTTTTTACTAACCTGAGCTCAATGGAGTTTTGCCTCTGTCCTTGGAGATAATTGGATTTCTTCCAAAATATCTCCAGGATAGAGGGGAGGGATTGTAATGTACTGTGGGAGTGTTCTAACCCTGGATGTCTGTAATTGGTCAGTGTATACGTTGTGTCCCAGTCTTCCATCTGGTCCCCTATGAGATTGTCCACCAGGTGGGAAACCTGCATAAATACCGGGCAGGTACCCCGGATTAAACAGACCACTGCTTGACCCTCAACACGGAGCCTTGTCTCATTCTTGGGGGAATTTATTGTATGCTGTTTCCAGTTCGACTGCTAGGAGTGTAAACTGTTCGTATGGTTTTTCCTATTCGGCTGTTTGAAGCATTCATATGGTTCCAGTACGGCTGTTTGGACAATTTGTATGTTTTCCTGTTTGGGAGATTGGTGTCTTCAGTAGCTGCCTGTGTATCTGGAAGGGAATATCTACTAAACATTTTTTAACCCCTTTTATGCCTGGGGGTGCCGTTACAATTGGTGGCAAGCGACGGGATGGTTCTCACAGCCCAGAAGGACAGCTACAAGGTAACACCATTCCCTGGAATTACAAATTGAGGACAACGCATGTCTGAGTACAGCGACCCTAACAGCATCAGGATGGAACCAGCAGTGCTATATGATGAGGGTGTCAAGAACGAGCGTGATGCAGCCCGTAAAGACATCTGGTACCAGGCACTAAATTACGTACAATACCAGCGGGGCGAGGGACTCTCCAGTGAGGAGCAGCGATGGAAGAAGTGACTAGCACTGCGGATGCACTTCCTGGGAGAGCAGCCCCTGGAAGAGTGGTTAAAAGAACTGGAGCTCCGGGTAGGGCAGGAGCTGTGGCTGGAAGATGCCTACCAAGCACTCTGGTGGTATGCGGCTCAGTACATACCCTGGACGGCCGAGCATGACAAGCCAGAGGCAGAGGAGTGTTTTATCTTTAATGAAGCAGCGCTCACACTTGACTCTCTGTTTAGTTTTTATACCTTATATTAAGTCGCTTGTTATATAGTGTGAAGCAGCCCAATTTATTGTTCTTACCCTGTGAGGGGTAATTTTGTTTTCTACCACGCCCATATATTACATAGCAATTAGATAATTACTTGCAAAACATGATATACCGGGGTATAATGTTTATTAGCTTCTTAATCCAAGGAGATATCTGACTGTCATTTTGGGGTCAATGATTTTTACAATATTGGATTATTCCTGGCACCACTCTCCCCCATTCACATTTAGGTTGTGAATGGAGAAAACCAGAATTTATACCTTTAATTGCCTGTTACCCTCAGCAAGTACTGTCCATAATCTGTTTTTCTGTTGCCAAAGGCAATTTGTAGACACTTCTTGGCATCCACAGACCCATTCAATTCATATCGGACTTGAAAATGGAGTAAACCAGCCATGTATTACATTTCATTTACTGTATTCCCCAGGAAGAGTGCTCCATAAATAAAACTTCTAATTTACTGTTTGACATAAAACAAATCTATCAATGTTTTCTCCAGAAGGTTGGTAAAATTGTCATTCTATAGCAAAAATGCATTAATACGGTTACAACACTTGCTCGAGATTAGTAAATGTTCTGTCAGCCTATATTCTTGGTGCTTGGTGTATGTTGGTGCTTCTCGCGAGATGTCATCCCTATTTAGAAATATTCATCAAGAAACTTTATGTGGAGTTCTTTCACCTTTTGTCTACAATTTCTCTACGGCTGGTAAAATTGTCATTCTAAAGTGATATGTCCCTTCTTTCTGTTGGAACCCGCTCCCTGGCACAATACAGATCCAAGACTCTTCCAGGAGCTGCATACAGTAAAACATATCAAGAGCCATTCAGAGTTTCTCAGCTCTCTGTACGGTTTTATCAGGGATGAACATCCTGGGAAAGGCGTACATGGTGCCTTGCAGAGGGTTACATTTAATGCGCAGAATCTGGTAAATATTTCTTCCGTTAGTTTAGCTTTATAAGCCAGGTTTGACAGAACAGCGTCCTTCTCCCTGATAAAACGATTGAAGGACTCTTCTTCAGGGTTTGGTGGGTTCACGACCACATCCATAGCTGTCTGTCCTGACACTGGAGGGCAGAGCTGGACAGACAGCATTTTAACCAGCTGAGCTGCGATGTCTTGGTGTAAGTTCACAACCTCCACATACCCTTCTCTATAACCGCACTTGCCCATGTATCCATTGGACGTAGAGTGGAAAGACGCAAGCTCCACGTTAGTGAAATATTCTGGACCCATTTCATACAGTACTTTCTTGAAGGAATGGAACTCGCAGCTGTCCGAATATCTTGGTGTCTTGATACACCTTGTCTTCCAACAGAAAGAGTCCCTCTTCCCATGCAAAGTGAATAACCTCTTCTAGACAATGTCTGCTCTGTACCTAGCCTCTTGGGTTTCCTGGGTTGGTGATACATAGGACTTTGGGGTTATAGTAATCCCTGGCTTGGTACAAGGCTCTCTGCAGTTCGTTCACATCCAGCGCCCAGCAGTTCTCCTCGTCACCTGGATAGCGTCCAATTCAGATGTGGCAGCCGAATTCAAGGGATACTGCGGAATAGGGACCATGATTCCGGTCCGGAATTTCTCCTCTCTAGACACAAGGATTTTCAGGATACTTGCGATGCCACCAGTGGTTAGATAAATATTATCTTGATCCCGCTGCATAATGTACTGAGCAATGTTTTCTCGGATACAGCTCACTCCTTGGCAGGAACTGTAAGAGCCCAGGCTCTGCCCGCCGCATAGTTGTAGGATCTTACTTGCTCGGAGTTTGGCATCAAGTGGGAAACTAGGATCATCCATCAGTTCTGGGTAGGTACAGAGTGCAATAACCTTCCAAAGAAAGGTGATTGGCTGCTGTCCCATTCCAATATTGGCTTTGATCAGCTCGCTCTCTATCTCACCGGCTCTCAGCGCTATGGGGCCCCACACCACGTACTCTATCACCCGTACCTGGGGTTCATGGATTGCAGGATGAGGATCTTCTTCCAACTCTTCCCTTCCAGCGGGGACTTCACTGCAGGCCCCCTTGTTGCAGTGCTTTAATACAGGACCCCCCGGGGCCAACACGCCCTCACTGGCCAGACCAAAATATCTCATAAATATGACCAATCCATATTATTCCTAAATAGAGGGAATATTTAGTACAATTTATATAAAGCTACTTTAAAAAATCCTGTTAGTACAAATACCTTGTATAACTAGTCACCTAATATCCTATATAAACATAATGCTAAAAATATGTGCTAATGTATGGATATAAAAATTAATGTATATATATTTACATTTCTAATTCCTACAGGAGCTTGTGCATTTTTCTAGTTCCTACAAGAGTGTTTTTATTTTAAATATCCACCTCATCTTAAGCTGTGACAGTTTCTTGTCAGCCCCCCCCCCACCTTCCCAAAATTGCTGCTTACTTTGTATCCCCCTAAAATTCCAACTTATTGGGATCCCCATTGTGCTCCTTTAAAAATGCAAAGATAATGGGTGTTCCTTAAAACCTCTTCTGATGTTCCTAATATGTTCTTCAAGACAGGTGTGTACTTGTCTTGTAGTCTTTTTCCACATTTTGACATTTATACTGGCAGGTTAAAACAAATAATATTGGTAGTGTTACAAGTTATCAACGGTCTAATTTTATATACTATGTCCGTGGACTCCCCCTCAGAGTCCCTCGTCACTTTATTTTGTGCTGCCCATGCAGGCTAATCAGTATCCATATTTAAAAAAATATATATTTAATTATTTAAAAAAAAAACTATATAAATTTACTATTATTATTGTTATTCCCACTTATATTTTTAAACGACTTTTCACTAAGTGTGATTTTATGTTTGGTACCCCTCTATAGACCATTGTAGAGTGCATTGGAACAATGTTCTGTAGAAGGGGATCTTCTGCAAGGACAAACACATATTTATTTATCATATTTTCCCTGAATAATTAAAAGTCAATGCAACATCCTCTGTATTCCTCTTTATTTCCCTTTTGTCTGATAAGGTCTTTATAGGCTTTTTCAATATTTCCTCAAAATAATATTTTCCATAACACCATTAATAAATGTATTTGTTTGTTTATCACATACAGTAAGCTCAGTACAATTTCTCCTGATCCTCATCAATTGAGCCTTGTGGGATATTGCTAATACATGGACGATAGTGACAGCTATCAAAAAGGATAAAACTATTAATGTCTACCTTCTTGAAAAAGGTATTAGTGTGAATATAACCATCTAAAATATAAATATATATATATATATATATATATATATATTTGTTTTAATAACATTTGTGCCATTAAATTCCAGTCATCTTAATTGCCCAAGAATTCAAATTAGGGAGCTCGATGAAAAGACCGCCTCCAAATCCAAAACAGGTCAGCTACGGAATCTGTTGGCGCTATATAAATGGCGATAATAATAATCTATGAAACGATGATAGGCAACCAGTTAATGCTTTCTAACTGTACAAGATACAGTTATACCTATAGTGGATCGCTAAAATACAGAAACAAGGGGAAAAACAAAAAGTAAACACAAAATATAGTGTAGATGGTAATTATATTCAAGTGATATATCTTTAGAAGGCCAGTCCACTCACATGTAATGGAGCCTATATGCACTGCTTCTGTATATAAGGCTTGCATGCTCTTAGGGCAGCATCACACCACTCCTTCAAAAAAGATGTACCCTCCGGTAAAATAAAAGAGAGAAAGGACACCAATGTGTAGTGTTTTCAATTAAAACCAATACAAATATGTCTCCTCTCTTTACTCTATTATCCAACAAGAGATAGGTATTGAAGCAGCTCCTTTTTTTCTGGAATCAGATGAATTACCCCAGACAAAGTCCAAAGTCAGTCCAAATAAAGAAAGATTGTGTTTTTCTGCACACAAAGACACTTCCAAGGAATCAGCAGGAACATTTCTTGCAACAATCCAAAATATACATAATATTGAGGAGAATAAATCCAAAGACAGGAAAGACAAAAAAAGGAAGGGGTTAACCATTAAACAAAAATAGCGAACAGAATGCGCTTCTCATCTGGCAAATGATGCTTCCTCAGCAAATTACAGACATTAAACGCATTGTGTTCACTATTTTTGTTAGTGGTGCCCAGTGGTGTATCCTGGTTTTGTGCTGCCCTAGGCAGGACAAAACTCAGGCGCCCCCCAACCCCCCCCCCATGCGCGACCCCCACCCATCCCTTCCCCGCCCCGCGCGCGACCACCTCCCATCCCTTCTCCCCTGCGTGCGTGACCCCCACCCATCCCTTCCCCCGCCTTCTAAATACACACACACTCACTGACAGATACGCGTACACTAGCTAACAGAAACACAAACTCACTGACACACACAGTCAAACACATACACTCACTAGCAGACACACTCACAGACACACACACACACACACTCACTAACAGACACACACTCACTAACAGACACACACACACACTCACACTCCCTAACAGACACACACACACACTAACAGACACACACACACACACACTCACACTCCCTAACAGACACACACACACACACTAACAGACACACACTCTAACACACACACACTAACAGACACACACACACACTAACAGACACACACACACACTCACACTCACTAACAGACACATACACACTAATAGACACACACACACTAACAGACACACACACAGTCACTAATAGACACACACACACTCACACTCAGTGGCGGATCCAGAGCCTGATCTCGGGAGGGGCACTTGTAGATTATTTAAAGAAATAATCCAGACACAATAACTACTACAGCTCAGTGTAGTGGTTATGGTGTCAATAGTGCCGGGACCCCCTCCCAGAGTAAGTAGTCAAACCGTTTAAGAACAGTTTGACAACTTACCTGAGAAATGGGGCAGTAGTAGGGCATAGGAGCAGTGGTGTGTGTGAGTGGTGCAGTGTGTGTGTGTGTGTGTGAGGGGGACAGTGTGTGCGCAGTGTGTGTGTGAGGGCGGCAGCGTATGTGTGGGACAGTATGTGTGTGAGTATTGCAGTGTATGTGTGTGTATGGGGCGGCAGTGTATGGGGGCAGTGTGTGTGTATCGGGTAGTGTATGTGTGTAGAGTGTGTGATGGGGGGCAGTGTGTGTATGGGGGGCAGTATTATGGCAATGTGTGTGTATAATGGGGCAGGCAGTGTATGGGGGCATGTGTGTGTAGGGCAGTATGGGTGTATGGGTGCATGGGCGTAATGTGTGTATGGGGGAGCACATGATGGGGGACAGCATGGAGCAAATGTGTGTGCATGAGGCGGCAGTATGGGTGTATAGAGAGGCAGTATGGGATCAGTGTACATGGGGAGCAGAGGTGTGTATGGGGGCAGTGTGGTGTGTGTATGGGGGGCAGTGTGTGGGTGTGTGTATGGGGGGCAGTGTGTGTGTATGGGGGGGCAGTATGGGTGGGGGGACAGTATGGGTGTATGGGGGACAGTATGGGGGGGCAGTATGGGTGTATGGGGGCAATGTGTGTATGGGAGGGAAGTATGGGGGCAATGTGTGTATGGGGGGGGGGCAGTATGGAGGGCAATGTGTGTATGGGGGGGCAGTATGGGTGGGCAGTATGGGTGGCAATGTGTGTATGGGGGGGCAGTATGTGTGTATGGGGGGCAGTGTGGGGGGCAATGTGTGTATGGGGGGGCAGTATGGGGATCAGTGTATGTGTGTAGAGTGTGTGTGTGTGATAAGGGTGGGGGGCTTTTTTTTAAAAATACTTTTTTTAAATTTAGTTTAATATAAATAATCATTATGTCCCCCCTCCCTTCTTACCTTTGCTGGGGGGAGGGGGGACATTTCCCTGGTGGTCCGGTGGGCGATTAATTGGTGGTCCTAGTGGGGAGAGTGAACTCTAGCCCGCGCTCCCGGGCTAGAGTTCACTCTCGCGAGATTTGAAGCGTTGCCGTGGTAACCGCGGCAACGCTCCAAATCTCACGAGAGGAGGACCCGGAGGAGCTGCAGCCTGAGCCTCGGGTCCTCTCTCCTCCCTCTCCCTCCTTCCCCGCCGGCCGCCAGCACAGTGCCTGCGGACCGGGGAGGGAGATCTGTGATCTCCCCTCCGGTCCGCAGGCACATTGCAAGGCTAGCACCTGCATGTGCTGCTGGCAGGGGAGAGGGAGACCGGCGGATTTCTCGGGGGGGGCAATTGCCCCGTTGCCCCCCCCCTGGATCCGCCACTGCTCACACTCACTAACAGACACACACACACTCACATTAACACATGTACTTTTTAACCCCCCCCCAGCCTCCTTACCTTTGGGAGTGCTGGGGAGGGAAGGGGTTCTCTATCTCCCTGGTGGTCCAGTGGCTGCTGGGCGGGCGGCTGACGAGGGAGCTCTTCCTGTGAGCTGTCTGCTCAGCTCCCTCGCGCGCCGCAGAGTGAGGCTGGGAGCCGGAATATGACGTCATCTTCCGGCTCCCAGCCTCACTCTGCGGGCGGCGCTCGAGGGAGCTGAGCAGACAGCTCACAGGAAGAGCTCCCTCACCAGCTGCCCGCCCGCCAATGCCGCCCAGCGCCCCAGCATGTCTTTTAGCCGAGAGGCTAACAAGACATTTGCCTTGGGCATTTGGGGGGCGGCTTTTTTTGCCGCCCCCTGAAAAATGCCGCCCAAGGCAAATGCCTTGTTTGCCTCACGGCTAAAACGAAGGGGTGGTGCCCCTTCCTTTTTTTGGTCCTTGCTGTTTGGATTTATTCTCCTCGCTCATATATTTAACAGTTTTTTCCTTGTGTATAGAGTTGAGCGGACACCTGGATGTTCGGGTCCGGTGGGTTCGGCCGAACTTTGAAAAAAAATCCGGGTTCGGGCTCGAACTTGACCCCGAACCCGAAACCCATTGAAGTCAATGGGGACCCGAACTTTTGGCCATGAAAATGCCTCTAAAAAACTCCTGGAAAGGGCTAGAGAGCTGCAAAAGCAAGTAAAATGGGGGTAAGAGTAGGACAAGTGCCCTGCAAACAAATGTTGATAGGGAAATCACTTAAAATAACATAAAATACATAAAAATTAAAAATACAGCTGAGCCATAAAATAGCACTAGATGGAATGGAATCTTTGATTTTAGCTTTGGAAGAAC